AGAGAAAATCTAACAATATATTGTATACAAGGAACACATTTAACCCAAAAAGAAATTCACAGAACAAATATTCTCTATGTATGTGTGTGTTCTATACTCAATAAGATTCAGGGATGGTGACTCATGAGCATAATCTCAGCTGCTTAGAAGGCTGAGGCAGTAGAATGGCAAGTTCAAATTCAGCCTGGGAAAATTAGCAAGACACTGTTTCAAGACAAAATAAATTTGAAAGCAATTGAGATTTAGCTCTGTGGTAGGGTTCCTCATTCTATGTCTACTATCAGAGACCAAAAGTAGTAGAGCAACTTGGTAACGGCATGACATGCTCAAAACAAAAAGGGCTTGGATGGAATTCATCATGGAGATCATGGGTTCAATGCCCAGTACTTCCCCCACCCCGGTAAACAAGTAACACCAGAAAACATCTAGAAGAAAGCAACATGAAAAGTAGAATGAGGAGTGGAATAGATACATCAGGATATCGGGATAGAAAATACATGAGAACATAGTGTGTCAGTCATCAAAGTCTTGCAAAATGCCAGGTGTAGCTGCACGTGCCTGTGATCCCAGAACTTAGAGGCAGAGGCTAGAGACCATGAGTTACAGGCCAGCCTGGATTACACGGTGAATTCAAGGTCAGGCCACACTGCATAGAGTTACCCTATATCAATAAAACATAAGAAGTGCAGAGCATAGCCACAGTGAGAATACACTAAGAAAACAGAAAGGAGACCAGGCGTGCTGAGTGTGGGAGAAGTTGTGGAACAACTGAAAATCTTGGATTCTCTTGGTGAGAATGTAAAATTCTACAAGCACACTGGTGGTCAACACTGACAATTTCTTAAAAAGTTAAACACAGCCTACCATATGACTTTTCAGGTTTATTCCTAAGTGTACCCAGGAGAAAGGAGAGTATGAATCTGCACCGATGTTTGTACATGAACATTTATGGCAACATGGATAGCTCAAACTCAAAACAACCTATACATCCAAAGCCAAGTGAAAATGCATGTACCCATCATTGGGATACAATTTAACAGTAAGTTTTTTCAAAAAGGAACAGACTGTTTGTACATGGTAGCACATGAATGAAGGTAAATTTTGCCAGGTGAAAGTGAACAGCAGTGGGGAACTTAGGGCCCGTGTGCCACAGCCAGGTGTTATTGAAATCTCTAACACGTTCATCATCACTGGCCTAGAAGAAAAGTCGGTACTGTGTGCTTCAAGTTCTATTAAATTCTGGAAACACAATTCAACCTACTTTGACATCCCCTCATATATGCAGAAGCAGAAGCAGGGAATTCCCAACCATACAAGAGAACTGGGAAGTGACGGCTATCTTTATTATCTTAGTTATGTTGATGGCTTTCTGCATGTGTGCATATTTCAAAACTGAACTGAATCCTCTGCATTCTCCTTCCACTCCTGTCCTTACCCCTTTCTCCTTTATTTGCCTTTCTTTTTTTCCTCTCAGCCATCAAGTGTCTCCTCTTTCTGCTCCTATGTCTGACAAGGAGAAATTTTTATTGCTCAAGCACAGCTTTGTGGGATGTGGCTGCACCTGGAACCAGACCTGGTGAGTTGGCTTCTGTTTCTACTCCTAGGGAGTCAGAAGTAAATTCTGCCATCTCACTGGGAATCATACACAAGAGTGAAAGACATCATACTACAGTAATCAGTGCATACTCATGTTTATACCAGCACAATTCTTTTTTTTAATTTTAGAAATAAAAGGAGGAAAATACTAACAGACCGACAACATTTTACAAAATAGCATAGGATCAGTACAGACATTACAGAGTTACAAACAGAGTGGTAGGGAATTAACAATGCTTATTGTATTACATATTGATATCTTCAAAGTGGTTTCTCATGAAAACACATATAGACATACAAAGCTAATCAACCAATGCCTCACTGACAGTTTCTTTCAGCAAGAAAATACAGGACAGTAGAACACCCATGTTAACTATCCTGCATATACATATATACAAACTTTCTCCTTCTTTCCCTTCTCTTTTCCCATATCCCAGTTATCCTTTACCTATGAGTGCTTTCCTATCAATTCACAATGTCTATCATATCTCCTAGATTAAATTAACTCTTTCAGTCTTTACACTAGAGAAACAATGCGGTGCTTGCACATGTATGTTTGATTTATTTCGCTTATGAGTATGGTCTGTAGTTGTGACCATTTGCCTATAAAAGCCTCGAGTTTATCTTTCTTTACAGCTGAGTAATATTCCATTCTATAAAAGTACCACAATTTTCTTATCCATTCCTCAGTGGATGGACAT